AAACAAATGCAGTGTTGATACTCACCAGATCCTATGTTGAAAATGAACTATACAACTTGTGGAGAGGGTTGTCTGGAGGGAAAAACTGGGAGAAAATGAGGGAAATGGTGACACTATCTGAAAAGAAATGTACTCATTACCTGACTTGTGTAACTTTAATCCCTTTGTACATCTCCTTTACAATAACACTCAAAAATGTTAACGCCCTCCCCGCCAAAAAATAGACCATAGAAAGCAGGTAACATGATAACCATAAATTCAGTCATGAGCAAACATTCAGATAGATCCAGGCTGTGAAACATTGCATAAGATATTGGCATGAATTCTTCAAAACTGTAAAGTAAATTGCTTTTGCTCAAAGGAGATGAGAGATATGATAAATAAACACATTGTGTGAATCTTAGATCCTGGATCAAAAATAGAAAGCTGCACAGGGGATTCTGGGGCCATGAGGAACTCAAATGTGGGCTATGCAATGATTGATAATAGGGAATCAGTGTTGATCTGGGAGCAATAATGGTTCTGTGTTTGTATATGTCTGAAACTTCTTTTTTTTTTTTTTTACAGTTCTGTTGTCTGTATTAAAAGTCAAACTCTTTTCTAGTTTATTGAGTTATGATTGTTATAGAAAATTTGCACATAATTTATTTTCAAATTGTTTACAACAGTAGATAAATATGTATGTTTGCACATGTATGTGCATCTGTGACAAAAATCACTCTGACAAGGAGGTATTTTATAACAAAATGTTATTCACTGGGAAATAAAAGTAAAAAGAACAAGGGTCTCATTGTAATAGTCCTCAAATTTTTATGCTTTTAATTTTTCATTGTAAATGAAATAAGGAAAAAAGAATACACTTTCCTTGAGAGGTTAAGAATGAATACAATTGAGAAAACTAGATTTTGTTGGTTTATCTTTTATAACTAGGGAAGTTATTTTATTGAGTTAGAGCCACTGGTTTCCTCAACCTTATTTGGGTAGAAATCATAGCATAAACGATTATGGTTCTTTGTGTTCTTTTTGTTCACTGTTATACTAGCAAGTCAATGTTGTATTTAGTATTGTGATTCATTCACTCAATGACCCCTTTTAATGTAATAGCTTCACAAACAGCAATTGCAGTAGATTCCTTTGAAAAATAGTATGGCTACATGTCAAAAATTTAAATATAATGGTAGTGAATATTTATGATTTTTTCTTTCCTAGAACTCTACTCTTACTCAGTTTCAGGTTTTGCTTGTTTGTTTGCTGCTGCTGTTGATTTTATTGTTGTTATTAAGGAGTTGTACATAGGGTTTACAATTTCATAAGTCAGATTACGAGCATAATGCTTCTTGAATAATGTCACTCCTTCTTTCATTTTCCCTCATTTTCTCGCTCCTGTACCATAACTGCCAGCTTCTCTGAGAAAACCATTACTTTCTAAATCATCAACTGTGAAAAGGATCTTGCCTTGGATTTGTGGAAGCTTGTGAAACCCAGCATGACACTTTCACAGGCCACAGTGACTAGTTCTGAGGTCAGCGCAAGAACAAAATCAGACAAGTTAGTTAATGTATTGGAACTTTTTAGAAAGGCAAGCTCACAGTCAGCATCCACACTTTACTATATCTATGGGGTATCTGCATAAGAATAAATTCTGAATTCATAAAACAACCAAAGTGAAAGATGGCAGAAAGCAGAATCCTGAATCAGTTGAGTCTCTGGGCATAGCCATTCTTTACTTCCTTTTCTTTTCTTTCTTCTTTTGTTAGTACTAGGTTTGAATATAGGGCTTCTTGCTTGCTAACCTGGTACTCTACCACTTGTGCCACACCTCCATTATGGCATTTTGTTGGTTATTTGGAGAAGGAATCTCAGTCAACTTTTCTGTCAAGCATGTTCTTGAACTTTGATCCTACAGATATCAGCCTCCTAAGAATGTATGAGCCACCATCATATAGCCATGTCTTAATTTTCAATTGTGCTAATCAATTGTGATGCTTTAAAACATCAAACTACAAATTTCTTATTTACCTCATTATTTGTGCCATTAATTCTTAATAAGATGTGTTTTTAAATGTTTGAGACTTGTAGCTTATTACTAAAGAAGCCTGAAAAACACAACTGAATATAAATAAATCTAGAACTTGGGAATTTTTCTATCTTAACCTGGTATTTTTTCCAAATTCAGTATATTCGTATTACAGGATAGCACTATTTTCTTATGTAGAAGTACAAATGATTTGTAAAGACCTTCACCTTTGTGTTTTTCCACATTCAATTCATTACAGAAACAAATTACTTACCAAAGAAGCAAAGCACAGCACCAACAATTGCAAGAAATTTGTATTATGTGAAATCTAGTGAGAAAATAAAAATATTAGGAAAAGAAATACAAGGGAAGAACCAGGACCAAAAATAACCTAACATGTTTCATTTTGCCAGATATTTTGAAAAAAAAGTAAAGACAATTTAATGGTATATAGCAGAGAAAATAAAGCTTTGTCCAATGACCAATTTATTTAAGATAGTATGATAAAATGCATTTTTGTTCAAAATGGATAGCTTTATAGTCAAATTAAAAAAATAAAATTCCTATTATGCACATGTTATTATATCTAAGCCTAAGTGGTTTATTGTCAAGCCTTCATTGTTCAACCCCTTTTCTATAATGGAATAGTGTCTGCTACTTTGGATCCCAGAAAATACATGCCCTTATTTCATGTCTGAAATTTGGATATATGATTGACAGACATACTTGTGTGTTAAGTGTTTCAAAATTGTAAAAGCTCTGAGGGGAGTCACATTTACTATCATCCACATATTCTCTAGAATGAATGTGGCCCATTTCCATGCTGGAAAGTGATACTAGGTTTATTTTCCCTTTACATGTGATTCATATACATGTTCTTTATATAAATAGGCTAAGTCTACCATGCTGTCCTGCTAAGGTAATCCATTCAGTTTTGATACTGTCTTTGCAGTACTGTGATTTCACCTCATAACTCTTGTTCTTGCTAGGCAAGCGTTCCACTTGAGCCACACTCATGCCATTTTTTGCTTTGGTTATACTTTTAAGGCCCTGAGCTCAAAGTACTGACTCCCCTCAGGCAAAAAAAAAGCAATAGTCTCCCAGGTGGTTCTACTGTGAAACAATTAAGGACAAAATCAGCAGAAAGCCTAAAGTCACTGTAGAACATTCATTTTTAGTTTATAAATTATTAATTAAAATTAATTCAATTGAATTAATAGTAGAATGATGGTGTACTAGATAGAAGAGCAAAGGATTTTATTTTATTTATTTATTTTTTGTTGGTCATGGAGCTTGAATTCTGAGCCTGAATTCTGTGCTGACCCTGAGCTTTTCAGCTCAAGGCTAGCACTCTACCACTTGAGCCACAGCGCCACTTCCTGTTTTCTGATGGTTAATTGGAAATAAGAGTTTCATGGAGACTCTGCCCAGGCTGGCTTTGAACTGCGATCCTCAGATCTCAGCCTCCTGAGTAGCTAGAATTACAGGCATGAGCCACTGGTGCCCAGCTAAAGGATTTTATAGTCCAAGAGCACTTCCTTTTTTCCAAATTTTCTCTTTTATAATTCCCTTCTTAGAATGTGCTTATATTAAAAGTCATACACAGGAACAGACCATCAAAATGTACCTGTACACTTTGTGATCATAATATTAGAATTAAGAAATGTTTAATGAATTTGTGAATTAGAAAAAATCCAATTTTGTTTATTGGGCATCTAGAAAATCTGAAGTCAAGTCCACATCCCTGTATGATTGGGAGTTAATCTTGTTGATTTTTCCATTTTTAGGAAAAAAATTCCCCCTTTTTTTCACTTGCTTCCGTGCATATTAACACTTGAGTTGTTTTTATTCATAAATGAATCCATTGTAAAACTTCTCAAGAACAGTATTAGGTGTGTGTTTTCTTTTTAAATTTACTGGATAGAACTGATGATCAAATATTGCAGTACAGAAAGAATGTTGTTAAAAGTCAACTAATTATTTAAGCTTGGAAATGTCTGAAAAGCATCAAAGCCAACCTATATAGCACCTGGCTCAGGGTATTGGACTAATTCTGATTTAAAAAAATAGTAAGTTACAGTGAGTTTGTACACACATGTAAGAACAGTGTTATCGTTAACTCCATACCCTGATTTGGTGAAAGAGGCTTAAAGGAATGGTCAGAGGGAGGTAAAACGTATTTTGCCTTTGAGAATGAGGAACATGGAAATAACTGAAGCCTTTACTTGGCGAGGACACATAAAATAGGAATATGAAGTCAATATATTGAAAATAACAAAAACCTCCCAGCCTGATCCTCCTTGGGATTAATTATGAAGGAGAAATCTAGATTGCATTGAAAATTTAAAAAAAAATGACATAACTAGAAACCGTTCAAACATCTTTTCTAATAGTTTGTACTATTTTCATTTACATCTTTAGTATTCTGATTACTAGAGATTACTGATGCCTGAAATGGAAGTAGACATATTGAAGAAAAGGTTCTATAGGCCAATCATTGTGAAAATGAATATTAATCATGTTTATATTAAATTGCATTGATGGATTATGGAAATAGTATCCTAAAAATAATCTGCAGTCCCAGTAAGAGATATCCATAGGACTATAAGGATAGACAGGAATTTGTATGAGATTATTCTTTAAAAGCATTATTACTAGTAAATTAGTGAATTTACTTGTCTACATCATTTGGGATAGATTTCCTCTTAGCTGTCACCACCCTTCACTAAAATTTACTGGCTAATATACTACAGGCAAAATATGACCCGCAAAAAACTGACTCTTCATAGAGAACAAACAAATGCTTTTAGAAAGATCTTAAATTTGTTTTGCCTATGGAAAAAATATATTCTAACTTTCTCACAGCCAATATGTTCCAGTTGAAAACATGGAGTAAATTTTAAATATCTGTGGTTTGTACAATTAGAAAAGTATACAAATCTTGCAAATATGTCAAAATCACAAAATACACTCTGACAGCTAATGCTCTGAAAACACTTTATTACACAAATTACATTCAGATATTGAAAATAGTGTTCTAACAGCGTAACCATCTAAAAATAAGACATCCCAGAAACACACCAACTGAAGAGAAAAATTAAAAGAATTTAAATAGAGACTTTTTTCTTTCTCTCATTGCAATATAATGTTAGTGATTTTAAAAAAATAGGAGATTTATCAGCTTTGTCCTCATGTAGCACAAAGGTTCTCTTTACTGCCACAGGCTGAGAATGCTGAACAGGAAAGGCACCAAAGAAAGACACTGGCAATGGAGTGCTATTGGGAAAAATACTGTGTTCAAGCAGAGAATGGGGTTATTTACATCCACAAAAAAGTCTCAAAAATGTAAATGAGCAAACCTTCCATCATTAGATTCATAACTAGGATGGAGGAAGAGGACTGTTTCTCTATTCTATGTTCATAGAAAGACAATGGCACTGTTGTGAACTCTTAAGAAACTCCTCAACTAGAAACAGAAGCCAACTTAACCAAAATGGAGTAAATAAATTGTGTACAGTCCCACACAGACTAGTACAGTGGACAATAATAAATGCACAAAACTTTCAACGTGCTACAGGAAAAAGGAATCTGGCATTCTTGGTAAATCTCATTCAAGCCAAATGAAAGCCTGGTGTTCAGGAGGAAGTTGCTGGTGCGGGTAGGGGTGCTGAATACTCCTCTTCAGATTCACTCCCATCTTCCTCATCTTTTTCTTGGTCACTCCCTTCCGTGCTAAGGCGGTCAAACCCTTTGCGACTGTAACCTTTTCGGCTGGCGAAGAAATTTCCAAGGTTTAATCCTCCAGTTCCCTTTCCTGAAGAAAGCAAATAATAATGTAGAATTGAAATCATGTTTTTGCACGAGTTTTTTGTTTCCTTGAGAGTGTTGAATTGTAAACAAGGTCCAAATTTGGGGATAAGATAGTTTGTTTTAAAGGAATGACATTCGGATATGCTTTTACTACAGAACCAGATGAATATCACTGCCAGACTTATTAAAATAAGGAATAAAAGCTTTCCAGAAGTATGGGTTTTTACAAGAACATTTTACATTCACTTTTCACCTTCAGCTTGTCCCCGGCTCTCCAGAATGGGCATGTGTCAAGCAGCAATTCATTTCAATGACTTTCTGAAGAGGTCATATTCAGTATGACCACATTGACATGCCAACATGAGTGACAGAAAACTTACCAAAGACAAATGAAACTGGAAAGAAGGCAGGGAAAGCAAATTTGATAATACAGAATGACAAGATGAGTTTTATTAGAAAAGGGGTAACTGGGTAATGAGCTACCAAAGCCTTTAGATTATGATTGGCATTCTGCATTTATACTAGGGGATGTTCTACTGTCTACCAAGAGTCAAATCAGGAAATGTCTCCTTGCTTATCAAGAGGGGAAAAAGAGCCTGTTGACTTTAAACCAAACAAAGACTCTAAAAGGTCACAGCATACCTCTAAATCTTCCCAACACTCTTCCTGAATTGGCCTCGAGTTTGTGTTCAGAATCTGTTGGGGTGGGGGGAACAAAAGATGGCACAATTCAAAGTAAGTCCCAATCACCTTCCAAAATCTATGGACTCAGCTTTCAACACAAAACCAGGAACTTTTAAATGATTAAGGAGGCTTGGTTTTTATACATACATTTAAGAAAAGAAATAAGTACATAAAGGTCTGGGATTCACAGATACCAACATGTAAATGAAGCTTTAGCTCCTGCCTATGTCTCTTACAAACTACAGTTTTGATAAATGAATTCCCTCAGCCTCAGATTTTTTCTTTCTCTGAGAAATGAGGGATCAATGGTCTTGTCTATAAGGTTTTAGATAGGACATATCATCTGATGAGCTTAGAGACGTGGTATCTGGTGCATATACAGTAAACACTCAACACATTTTTGTTATTTGCATTTGGGCAGAATTAAGTTACCAATAATTTGTAAAAACAAATCAAAAGCTTTGGTTGCTACAATTTAGGAACAGCTGTGGTAGGCTTTCCCTTAAGAACAGTATGTGACCTCTTTAAACTGACGTGTTGAATTGAAGCCCCTTTGTACAACTACTTAAAATAATTTACATATATACATTAAAAAGAGCTTTGGATCCACGTAGAGCTTTTCCCCTTTGAGGAAAGTTTAAATGAAGGTGCAGGACATCCAACTGAGTAATCTCCAAGCACTTGAAGTGCTCACTGTGGGGCTTCCATTTCCCACAGGAATGAGTGAGGGAACTGATTTTCTGTTTCTCATGTGGAGGCAGCCACCCCAATGGATTTCGTTTTATTTCCCTTGCTGTATATCTCCAGACATTTTTCCCAGTCAGAGAAGCCAGGCTCAGGTTGCCTATCAGGTCTCTCACCCGGAAATGGAAGCAACATTGTGGAGACAACTGATGACAGAAAAAAGGCAGAAGAATCAATAGGAAAGGGGAAGACAAAAACGGGGAGAAGGACTTGATAGGACTGTTAGAAAGTCAAACATTAGACTGGCAATTTCTACTTTTGGAATTAAGTGTGTTTGACCAAACAGCATGGCATTACATTTTTTCTAAATACATGGTGGATGAACAATGGCCATTTCCTGTGATTTAGGCTGGATTTCTACCTTTCCAACACATCCCTATAAGGTTTTGCCATGTTTTGTCTCCCTAGAAGCAAGCAGGAGAGACGAAACGTTCCTGACTCCTTAGTCACTCTTTCTTCTATTTTGAGATGGGAAGCAGAATTCCTGCTACCTGCCCCCAGGCCCCATGTGCTCCTAATTTGAGTATTTATTACCATACTTATCACCCTCTATTATAGCCACTGTATGTCACGTCACATCATATAATCTCTCAGATGGCCTTATTTTATGAGCTCCATTCATTCTTTCAATCATTTTCTATCTTTCAATCATTTTTCTAACAACTATTTATTAAGCCTCTAGTGTGAAGGACTGTTATTTGTACTAGAGACATATCAGTAAGTGGTAAATGAAGACTGTGTGTCTTTCTCTTTTTGTTTATGACAGTTCCAGATCCATAACAATAGTCAGCAGAAGTCCTTTCTTGGAACACTTAACTCTACTTTTGCAGCTTTATGACTGCAGGTGAAAGGCAAAAGGCAGTCTAAGAAAAATTTCCTTTTACAATTTATTTAATTGACTTCCTGGTGTTCTGTTTCCAACAGTACCCCTTTTCAGGGTCAGGGTTTTGTCATGGGCACTGACGCCCAGCCATGGCCGCCTGAACCTGAAATAGGATCAGAGGCTATTTATTAGTTAAATGCTGCCTCTCATGATGGTCCACACATTCCTTTGCAGGCACAACTATGCTTTCTTGCCTGGGAAACTGGGGACTCTGCCAAGGGACTGCTACTGAGAGGTGGAAAATAGGATTGAGCTAATTCTTTATTTGGATGTCCTGAAAGGAACCCAGCTCTTGGGTTTTACATTGTAATTATGATTTTTATAAAATACTGACCCCATTATTGAACTCCACTTTGTTTAGTTGAAAAAGACTGATGGCCAAAATTATGCCCATTCAAAATCTACCAAATGGTTTCTTGTAGAAATACTGGTTTCTTGAGAATTCTGAAGTTTGAAACACATGTCTCTCATTATTCAATTCTTCATAATCTACCTAGGTGTCAAGCATTTTGCATAATGCTTCATTTACATTATTCCATTTAATTTTGTACAGCCTCACAGGGTATGTATTTCATCTTTACTTTAGTCACGAAGAAACTGTGGTTTAGAGAGATTAAGTAACTTGCCCAATGTCATGTAGCTAGGAGCTAGTGGCAGTCTGGTGGGAAATAAATACAGCTTCAAAACAGCAGATCTGGGTACTATGAGGATGGAGATGCTTCTAGCACCACACACTTCCATCTACTTTCTGATTGGTCAGCCAATCCTTCCCTGATTCTACACATAGTTTCTTTGGAGATAATAATTGGGTGTAAGGCAATTGCTAACAGACAATGGTAAACGATATACTATAGTGAGCTACCTAAACTCCACAGTGTCCAGACATATTTTCTACCAGAAACTAATTACAGACAATATTTGAAACATAGACAATAACATCAAAAACAGTAGAGAGCATCAAAGCAAAACAAAACAACTCCCAAAGACACTAAAAAAAATTAGGAACAAACTCCTGAAGGTAATTAGGCCAAACACTTTTTTCAAAGGCAGGTTCCAAGTTCAAGGGGCTCATGTTACTTGCCTCCAAAGGCCCTTGATTTTTTCCACCGAATAAATATGACAATGGCCAGCAGGACAACCACCGGAATAACCAGAAGGGTTGTAATGAGAACCACAGGCACTCCCGAGCCTGGCTCTTTGATCAGTTTCTGTTTCTCTTGCATCTTCTGCAATTCTGAGGAAGTGGGTTTGTTCTCCATTTTGGATTCAACTGTCTCGGCTTCTTCAGGGAAAGAAGAGTTCACAATATTCAACTGACTTAGAGATCTCACAACCCTCCCGTCCACCCCTGCCCAGTCAAGTCAACAACTCTTCACGAAGAACTTGTTGAAAATACTGCATGTAGGTGGGGTTCGTGTGTCAATGTCTGCATCCAAACAGGTGAAGGCAGGTATCAAGTATAATGATAATAGTTATTCCTACTATATGGTTTTCCACTTCAAAGTGTTTCCTTTCACTCTACCCTTCATTTCCTTTCTTAGTTATAACTCCAAAAATCCTCATAATCCTTTGTTTGTGTTTTTCTAAAGTTAAGATCAAACAGCAAACAAATTTGAGCTTGAATTCCAATTCTCCTGTACATGAGCTGTATAACTTTGGGCAAGTTACTTAAATATGGCCTTCAGTAACCTCACGTATAAAACTGTGAGAACAACATTTCCTTCATAAAACCATCAGATGTAAGTGCTCATCAAGTATTTGTTTCCTTGTACTTCCAGTTTATTAACTTCTTTCATGTTCAATGAAGTTTTTGCACATTATATGCATACTTAGACATATTAATTCTAAGACTTTAGTGAGGAAAAGCAACCCTATCTTCTTGGGGGGACTGGGTTCTTTTACATAGTTATCAACAAAAGATAATGCAGTTAAATGTTTATCATTTCATTGGTGATGGAAGAAATTGATGCTACTACTCTGTGACACTGGCAGGTATGGGTAGTTATCAGATCTGAAGAACTGTTGGAAGAAAAACATAGTACAAGAAGATACTTCATTGATCCTAATAAGTACTGATTTAAATGAGATTAGTACTTGAGGCTTCTGTGACCCAAGAAGCACATGTGTTTGTACAGAATCTTTTGGAGTACAAAGGTTGGTAAGAATTTGCTTGGGCTAAAAGTTTGCCACAAGAACCACAAGGTGCCAGGTGCCAGTAGCTCAGGGCTGTAATCCTAGCTACTCAGGAGGCTGAGATCTGAGGACTGTGGTTCAAAGTCAGCCTGGGCTGTGGCTCAAATGGTAGAGTGTTAGCCTTGAGCTGAAGAGCTCAGGGCCAGCACCCAGGCCCAGAGTTCAAGCCCCACAATCGACTAAATCAATCAATCAATCAATCAATCAATCAATCAATCAATCAATCACAAGGTTTCTGGAACTTCAGTGTCTTGGCATTTCTTTCTTACCTGTGATATACAGTGCATGATATGGCCTCATAGAGATTTTGACAAAATGGGCAAAATAGGTAGCCTAACACAATCCGAAAAATGAGGTGATGTTTAGTATGTATAGACTTAATGGCTTGCTGGAATCTTCTACAAGGAAATGCTCCAAAATTAGACAGCACACTATACATATAATTTATGATGCAAATAAACAGGCAAGTTGAAGACTTTCGCTTCAACACTTTGAGCCAGCCCCTTTATAGTCTCAGCATATCAATTGAGCTCTTACACCATGTCAGGCATTTTTGAGGATGGTGTCAAATTCTTCATTTCCTTCCCTGTACTATGGATAAGGGGAGACTAGATGTTTTCTCTTGTCCACTCAAATGATTCTTTGCAAGTTGGAGAGGAAGGAAGGAAAAGAACTGATTCCCAGATCTTGTTCCAATTTGATCTTTTAAAATCTCAGTTTCAAAGAGAACAGTGCCTGTGATTCACACTCATTTTGACCACTGCTATGCCAGTTTTTCTCTTACTGTAGAAAATCTACATATAGTTGCTCTGTATTTAAACTTGGTTCATGTCAAAGTAGGAAGAAAAAACAATAAAATATATTATGAAATTAAGAATTAATTGCTTGGTGTTGAACTATTCAAGAACTTGTTGCTGTTTGACAAAGGGTCTGCTTCTGTTTCAATGTAACCCGAACAGTTACTTAACATTGTCTATTTGCCATTATGTGGATCTATTTGAAGTTAATATAATCAATATGCTGGTAACTTTGACAAAGAAGAGCCAAGAATGAGCTCCATTAAATGGAAAGAAAAGTGAAGAACATTTGTGAGAGACAAAAATGTGTCAGCCTAGCATTCATAGAAAATGCACAGAAATAACCTAGTGAACTTGCAGAAGGTACATACCACTTTGGAACTTCAAGATTTCCACACCAGATTTTGTACTTTGAGTGTCAGCTACTAAAAATGCTTGTACATTTTAAGTTTTGGAACAAGCTGAAATATGTTCAATATTTTAAAAGATGTTGTATATTGTTTTTAAGAAGAGGCTAAACATTTTAAGGGTCAGTCTTATAAGAAGCAATATTGCTGTTTTTCTTAAGAGCCATTATAGATAAAAATCTTAAAATTTTATCATAAAATAGTATTTATAATTTAAGAATCCCCTCAAACATAAAAAATAAAAAAAGTGTCACCTCCATACTTTATCCTAAATTCTTGTTATTAAAAATACCAGTAACTTAGGGCCACCTTGATAAATGAAGAGTGAAGACATCCACACTAAGATTAGCTAGGATGTAGATTTCTGGAACATTAAGAAGAACTGAGCATGGTACTTTTATAAGATGCTATCCATATCCATCTAGAACAAAAATGTCTTAAAATCTTACAAGGTCACACTCTCATAGCATTTTTACAGGTATTTGGAAATAAATCTTTAAAGATGCTATATAAAAAGTCATTTGTTTCTTAAGGCTCTGAGTTTTAAACCCTATCTCCCATACAGTCCTTTTGGTCTTTGCCATTTATTTGAATGAGGTCATGCTTTTTGCCTGGACCAGTCAATACCACAATCCTCCCACTTAGCTTCCCATGTAGCTGGTACGACAGATGCATTGCACAGCATTTTATTAGTTTAGATACTATCTTGAAAATGTTTTAGCCAGATTGGTCTCAAATAACAATCTCAGCTTTCTGAGTAGTTAGGAATACAGATGTAAGCCACACCTCTCAGATATTCTTTTTTCTTTTTCTTTCAAATCATCTTTTTATGGTATAAATGTTTTTAATTTTAACATATGTTCACTGTTCCAACAAAATAATTTCTTTCCGGTTGTACAGTGATAAACTACATATACAATAAGATGGATGTTTTTCAAATGTGTTTTGCTATTTTTTAAATATTTCTTGGTATTATTAGGAATGTCAAGTTCCAAGTAATACTTTTTTTTTTTTTTTTTGTCAGTTGTGGGCCTGAACTCTGGGCCTGGGCACTGTCCTTCAGCTCTTCAGCTCAAGACTAGTGCTCTACCACTTGAGCCGCAGTACAACTTCTGGCTTTTTCTGTTTATGTGGTACTGAGGAATCGAATCCAGGGCCTCATGCATGCAAGGCAAGCACTTTACCACTGAGCCATCTTCCCAGCCCTAATATTTTATTTTTATAATATATTTTTTGTTACTGTAGAGGTGATGTTACATAGGTCAAGTAATGAGTACATTCCATTTTAAACCATGTTACCCCTTTCCTTTGTCTGTTTCTCATAGGTTTTCCCTCACATCCCCACCCAAAAGTCATGTAGTTCATTTTCCACATGGAGTCTACTGAGATCCACTGCTATCTTTTTTCTTTTAAGCACTGCAACCTTTAGAAAGACAACTGCATTCCTATGTGTGTGCACACTCACACAGGCATGTAACTCTCCTTTTTAATAGAAGGCACTTCAGTATCTGGGACAGTAAATGAAGGGCATTATGTACAGCAACACAGCATGTGCTACTCAGTTCACTACTGAGATGAGAAACGGAAGACTGAAAGCTTTAGATGGAATGCTAGCAAGTAATACTTTGAAAAACAAAAAAAAGTATGTATAGTGTGAGGACTTCTCTTTTTCTCTATGACTTTCTGTCTCTGTCTTTCTGTCTCTGCTTTGCTCTTAAATGCAAAGTGTTTTTCCAAAAATGTATTGTTCTCCATAGGTTTAAGAAGCTGCCTGCACCAGAGAGCGTTTTCCTTTGTTGGTTTCTTTGTTTTATTAATATTCTTGAGACTGATTTACCATCACCATCTTTTATTGAGGATGGAGTATAAAGACTACACTTTTGATGAGCAATCTGTTTTATCTCTAATGATTGTCTTTGAAATTTTAAATTACTCTCCTATGTGTTTTCATCATCTGTAATTCTCTTATTCTTGCAACTCCTACTATGTAACTGTTCATAATTGAGATTTAGAGACATCAAAGAAAACTCAAACTGGGATATACCGCCAGTGCAGAGCACCTGCCTAGCAAGCACCACACCCTGAGTGCAACACCCAGTGCCACCCAAACAATATGAAAACAAAATCAACCCTCTCAAATTTGGAGATTTAAAATTAAGGTGAATCTATTAGGTTGTTCAATTTGAATGTCCCCCCCACCCCAGTATAAAGTGTAGTTTGAAGCCTTACAATGCTGATAAAAGATAAGATCTAGTAATCAAGCATGATTTATAATTATTTTTGTAATTAAGACTATAATCTTACAAAACAAGGTTTAAGGAGAGTTATACGGATTCAAAGGAAAAGAGAATAGTTTCATTTGTGAGGAGGTATTCATAAGTATGAAAACTAGACTGGTACTAAAGCTACCAGCACAACTATGTTTATCACAGTATTATTTACCATAGCTAAGATAGAGAACCAACCCACTCAGTAGATGAATAGATCAAGAAAATGTGGTACACACACACACACACACACACACACACACACACACACACACGCACACACACACACACACAGAGAAATGGAATTCTATTCCTCCATCAGAAAGAATAACATCAGCCATTTGTTAGGAAATGGAAAGACTTCGAAAAAATTATATTAAGTGAAGTAATCTAGGCCCAAAGAAACATAGGTCCCATGGTTTCCCTTATTTACAATAACCAGTATAAGTTTAGGACAAGCAGAAACAGGTCAAAAGCTATGTATATATGACTATATAAGATGATGTTAAGCGAAATGAACCCCAAGATAGGGACACAAATATTTTTTTCTTGCTTGCTATTGTTTTTTTTTTAACATACTTATAATGTACTAGGTGATTTTTTTGTTTCTTTGTATGTTCCTCCCCCATGGTATAACCCCTGTTTTCACTGTATGTGATGTTGGTGCCCTGCATCTTATACATTTTTCTAATTTGGGGAAGAGAAGGGAAAAAACAACATCCTTAAATAGGGATATAGGTTGACCCATTGTAACAATGAGATGTACAAGACACTATGTTGAAAATAACTTTGGTGGGGCTGCGGGGAGGTGGGGGGCGGAATGGTTGAGGAGGTGGGAAAGGAAGGGACGGTAGGGGAAAAACAAAGGAGGAGGCAACAATGCTCAATAAAAATGTACTCATTACCTTACTCATGTAACTGTAACTCCTTTGCATAGTATTTTTACAATAAAAACATATTTAAAAATTAGACTGGCTTGAAAGGGGAAAGGGTAGAAGGGAGAGATGGCATCAGAATGGAGGAGTGAATATATTCAAAGCATACAATGAAGATGTGTGAAAATATCACAATCAAACCCCTAGCATATAAATGTACACTATTAAAAACTGGACTTACTTTAATAGACTTTATTATTTGAGCTGCTGGACTTTCCCATATAACTGGAGGTTTTCTGACTAACAAACTCAGTGGTATGCACCAAGGAGACAGAAAGTGGCCTATAGGAGGGTGCTATTCACCCTTCAGTGATCTCTCAAGATGAGGTCAGCATGACTGAGCAGTTCTAAACAATATAAGCAGTTCAATCACTACAACCAACGATGTGTGTGAGGGAGTGAGAGAGAAAGAGAGGGAGGAGAGAAAGGAGAGAAGGAAGGAGGAGAAGAGAGGAGAGAGACATAGAGAGAGACAGAGAGAGAGAGACAGAGCACTTAACCATTTAGTTTGAGGCCATTTTGAAATTCTAGAGATGTCAGTAAAAACTATAATCAATTTTATGTTACATTTCTTGGAGAACTTTACAGTGAATGAATTGAGAAGGTCACTCTCTCTTCAGCTGTATAGTAGTAGGGGTAAGAATAAAGGATTTAATTTTAAAACTCTGCCTCAAATATTCACAATCTCAGTAATAATTCTGATCCTCATTTCTCCATCTGTAAAATGGGGAAAATAGTGAGCCTTATGTGACTGGTGCAAGGATTAAGCCCAATTATTTTCATATAGCCCTGGCTTTCATCCCTTAAGTAGCTATTGTCAACAATACCATGTTTTTCAACATTTTTATTTTGGGACAAATGTAACTTACCAATAATTGTATGTAAGGGTAGAAAGGCGTCTGTAGCGTACAGTGTGAAATGAATGGCACTAGTATCACTAGGGAAGGAGCTCTACAAATGCCAAATGATTGCTACTTTGAGTTATACTATTCTTGCCCCTTTCAAGCTTGCACTTGCAATATTTTGTTATCTGCCTATGTAAAATCCTTAAAGTTCCTCTTGGTTTTTGCTTCTTTTCATCTCTTGTAAGCCTGCTTTCATAAGAAAGGAAAACATGTAACTCTAAGGTAAAGTCAGATGATCTTGGTGAATAATTTTTAAAACTACTATCAAAAGGATCACTTTGTTACTTAAACATTAGGAGCACCTCACAAGAAATGTGGTGAGTTCTTGCCTCTAAAAGTCCAGTAGAGAATAGAACATGTTCAAATACAAACTGATTCTGCAAAAAGGGTAGAATAATTTGACAGATTCCAAATGAGACCAGTAGCTGCATACTAGAAGCTAGATCCCATTTCCCTATATGAATCTCAAATGATGTGTGTGTGTGTGTGTGTGTGTGTGTGTGTGTGTATTTGTGTGTGGTGTGCACGCACACACTCTAGGCTGTAAGTCCCTTGAGGACAGGCATGCTTTCATTTCCAATACACCTGCTGCAGTGCCTGCCATGTAGAACCTCAATAAACTTAAGGGCTAAGAACTATTATGATACAAAGTTAGGGAATGACTGATCTTTTCACAGTCCTACAGCATTAATTCACCAAGGGTAATTTTTTCTTCTTTTTACTAGAACCCGTTAAGGAAAGACCTTTTCTGATAAACAAGTCTTTCTGCTGGTTTGGAGTTAATATATTTCTAAAAGTGACTATTTCCCTTTTTTCCTCTCCTGCTAACTGGTCATAAATTTCTTACATTTCCAGTCACATTCCATCACTTGGAATCAATGATTTGAGATCCTTATTGACTACTCCATTTATCAGAAAAAGCAGTGGCATCAAGCAAGGCTCAGCACATAGCAGAAGTCATGGATAATATACAAGGCCTATATATTTTTAGCCCAATTAAGTTGCAATCAAGAGTCTTAAAAGAATTCAACAAAAATAGCCTTTGGTTTCACAATTGGAAGAGGAATTTGACCAACCTTTGATTTCTTGGACCTCAATGCCAGCCTTTTTAACTGAACGATGTTCAATTTCTGTAACAACACAAGAAAGAGAAAAATCAGAGTTCCCAAAAAGAGTATTTGAGAACTTAACTTTAATGTTAGCTTCATTAGGAAACTATTTCCTAATGCATTGAATATATTAATAATAATTTAGGGGTCACATCTATGGCTCTTGGATAAAATATCCTAGGGAAAGCTGAGCACAATAAATTTGATATTCTCTTCCTCCTCCTCTCCTTTTCTTCTGCTTCTACTTCTTGTTCTTGCTCTTCTTTCTTTTTCCTTCTTTTTCCCTTTCTCTTTCTTCTCCTTCTCCTCTTCCTTCCTCCCTCCCTCCTTCCCTCCCTCTCTCCCTCCCTCCCTTCCCTCTTTCCTTCCTTCTGTCTTCCTCCTCCTCCCTTCCTCCTTCTCTTTTCTTTTTTCTTTGTTGGTACTTGAAATTGTACTCAGAGCCTCATGGCCATCACTAGGCAACTGAGATAGTTTTTCTAGAACCTTAATTTTATGATGAGCTTTGACTTTTGGACGTCATGATACTGTTTTGTTTCTGTAACACTAAGTGATTCTGTTTGCATGTACCCTAAATCTTAGAATGATTACTAATTCAACCATGTTGGATTACAAGTCTTTAAATCGACATATATAGATTTGACTAATGAATACACCAACAATTTTTCATCTCCAATGGCAATCTTACTGTGCTACTGGTATTATGTTCCAGACTTATCATGTTCTGCATTATGATATGGTTTTTCCCCCCTTAAAGTTGTATGCTACATTGAAGTGCTTCTTAACCAGGGTTTTATCAAAACCACATAAGCAAACTTTTAAAAAACAAACAGTTGGGAACTGGTGGCTCATGCCTGTAATCCTAGCTACTCAAGAGGCTGAGGTCTGAGGATCACAGTTCCAAGTCAGCCCGGGCAGTAGAGTTTTTGAGACTCTTTATCTCCAATAAACTACTCAGAGAAGGCCAGAAGTGGAGCTATATTCAAGAGGCAGATCACTAGTCTTGAGTCAAAGAAGCTCAGGGACAGTTCTCAAGACCAGGCCCTGAGTTCAAGCCCCAGGACTGGCATTACACACACAACCACACACACAGACATACACACACAGACACACACACAACCACACAAAAGCAACACTAATACTGCAGTTCCTTTCTTCTATAACCTGGGGAAGAGACTATCCACATATATTTTGAAAATCCTCCCTCCATGGCTCAGATATGCATCCTTATACCGTACCAACCACTAGGTGGTATAAATGGTCTTAAAGTAGAATCTTACTAAGATCAAGAATCATGTTTCTATGTGAAAAAATGAAGGTATTGGCTAAATTTCTGAAGTCTTTTTCTATCCATAAGAGTTTTAGAAGTTTTGTTTTATTTATTTATTTATTTATTTATTTTTTGGGTCCAGTCGTAGGGCCTGAACTCTGGGCCTAGGCGCTGTCCCTCAGCTCTTCAGCTCAAGGCTAGCGCTTGAGCCACAGCGCCACTTCCGGCTTTTTTCTTTTTGCTTATGTGGTGCTGAGGAATGGAACCCAGGGCCTCATGCATGCAAAGCAAGCGCTCTACCACTGAGCCACCTTTCCAGCCCAGAAGTTTTGTTTTAAAAGTTGCTAGGATTATCTCTCTCTCTCTCTCTCTCTCTCTCTGTCTACCTGTATCTTTAGGATCCTCTTTGAAAATGCAGGTTGTGAAAGACACACTTTTCATGGAAATGTGAAGTAACTTTGAGGTTAGAGTATTCTAAAGGCATCTATGTGTACTTTAACCAGATCCTTATTTCAAAAAGAGTCAAAGTTATTTACAGAATAATACTGAATATGGCAACTACTAAATAGGTCGCTACGACCTATATTGGATCTGATTAAAGCTTCTAGACTTCAGCTTTTACTTTTAAAATAAGTTATACATTCTCCTTGTTACAATTTATATTTCCTGTTATTATTAACATTTTTCTTCACCAAATTTTCATCTCCTTGTCATTTCAGTTTCGGATACCTGAAATGTGCTACCCTGAAATCTTTTCTTATGAACACTTGCTGCTAGGCCTTGTCCCATTTAAAAATCATCTCTGAGGGGCAAGGAAGGTGGCTCAGTGGTAGAGCACTTGCCTTGCATGCCTGAGGCCCTGGGTTCGATTCCTCAGCACCACATAAGCAAAAAAAGAAAAACGCTGTGGCTCAAGTGGTAGAGTGATAGCCTTGAGCTGAAGAGCTAAGGGACAGCGCCCTGGCCCAGAGTTCAGGCCCCACGACTGGACCCCCCCAAAAAAATCATCTCTGACTATTGAAATTCACAGCCAGCTTAGCATTTGTCCCACTTCAATTTAGAAAACATATTTGTTAGCTAGGCTTAGCCTACTTTTAAAGAGTTAAAAATAATATTCAAAACACAATTAGAAAAGTCAAACACTAACTAGCTAGAAACTGATGGAGCAAATCTGTCCAGAGACAACATTTGGAATTACTGAAAATAGAGCAATTCAGTATTTTGGGAATGCTGAAGGCTAAATGGAAAGTGTAAAGTGCTTCTCACTTGGGAAAACATATCTGATAAAGATGGTGCTGTCCCTAAATGCTCAACAGTTACCAAGCACTAAAGAGTCATGTGGGAGTAAGCTGCATTTGGAAGCCAATCAGCCTTCTGCTTTGCCAAAGCCACCTCTTCCTTCTGGAACTAAGCTGGAATTAACACAGGCTTTAAATTTAACAGACATTACTTCAGGCATCAAGAATTTCCTGTGGCGTATCTGTGGAAACAAGGGGATAGCTGCCAGGAAAAAAAGAAAAAAGAAGAAAACCCAAACAAAATAATGTTTCTCTCCACTTTCTGAAGATTAATTTAATTCCTGGTATACAGCTCTGTCTCTGTCTTTCTGTATCTTTCTCTGTCTCAGTCTCTGTATCTGTCTGTTTTCTCTGTCTCTCACTCTTGCTGTTTCTCTCTCTGTCTGTCTGTCTGTCTGTCTGTCTCTCTCTCTCACCCAGGGTCTTAGGTATGTGAGGAAGGTAGTAGTCAAGTCCTTGTAAAATCTTTAAATTACTGCCTTCTTTCCTGATTTCTTATTATCATAATGAAGAAGAGGAGAAGGAAATGCAAATGTTTTGTTTCAGTTTTAAAGACTAAAACAGATGGAAAATGCAGACAGTTAAAAATATAATACAGTTTTTTTTTTTTTTTTTAAAAAACCTACTCTCAGTCACTGTGAACTTCCAAACAGTGTTCATGTGAGCATCTCCAACGTACACAGTTCCATCTTCGGATGCAACAATATCATGAGGCATGTCAAAGTGCTGCGAAAATAGGAAGCCATTTGTTAGTGTTCTTGAATCTCCACAAAGGCAGATATCAAAGCAAGATATAGAATTCAAATCAAAGTAGAAATAACTATCATCTAAGCAATTCTACAGCCAAGGGGCTTCACTCATTTACTCATTTGGATCCTAAATAATCCAGGAAATGTTCTAAACATTGGAAAGTGCTAGGGGGGCATTGAGTTTTGACTCTTTTTAAAAATGAGAAAATTTGAGTAAATTATTTTAACAGTTGTTTTGTTTCATTGCCTAATTATTTTAAATTATTTTTGCTTTCATCTTTCTCCTATTAATCATTGTCAAATTTGCCTTTTTAATCAAAAGAACCAGCTATTTGTTATTATTGTTGTTATTATTATTATTATTGATGTGGAAGAATGTAGATCATTCCCACTGAGGGACATGAATGTCCTTGCAGAAGAAAGGACTGAAGGCTGTGCATGAAAGCAAGTGATGAGAGACAATATGTTATTCCTCTGATTATAGGGAAAGAAACTTGGAGAGGCCTGTGTATTTTACACTCATGGACAGCGTTTGACAAAACTGTATCTGCTGTCCTATTATATCTGTTTCCCTTCGTAAGTGTAAAGCTAGAGTACAGTAGATTCAGAAGTAAACATTCCTAAATAATGCAATGGTGGAAGAGGAAACCTTTAAGGAGATGGGGATATAAGTAATAGATATGCACAAAAAAATGCCAAAGAAACACAGTATAAAGTCTGGCCTTTGACTTGAAAATGAATCTGTTCTTACACAGAAGTTAATGCACACTATTATTTCCCTTACTGAAACTTAATCATTATGATGATGATACATTAAATAAAAACTCTAAAAGATTCATAATCTAGTTTTAGTCTACTGAGTCAATACAGAATACATTTCTATGTTTTGGCATAATGTCAAGCATGTTTACTAAAAGGAAAAGCAAATTTAATCATCGAGTAAGATTGTCTTTTCAAGTTTGCTATATTGATCCACAAATTCTGAGTCATTCTTTGCTAAATGGTGAATGTTGGCGATTAGGGCACAGTGCTTCCTGAAATTTTAATTCAGGAATCCTCAGATTCTTATGAGAGTAAAGGGCATTTTGAGTCTTGTCTCTTGCTTAGTACTTAGTTTTGAGTTATAAACCAATGATTTAAAGTTAACATATTAGCTGACTTACTATGTAATCATTGAGTTAGCAAGGCAAATACCCTGAGGACGTTGTTTACCAAGAAATATGAAGAAGTCAGCTCAAATGGCATAACCATGAAGATAATTAGTAAGTGCGTGAACACTAGAGGAAAAAAATATAGTATCACTTTAATGAGTTCCTTTCTTATGACTGCTATACCCTGATATTGTTTATTGGTTTTCAGATGAAACAGTCTTGTGAAAAATCTTACTTGTGGAAAACAAAAAGAAACCACAGAAAGAAATAGGTAATAGAACCTTTATTTCAGGTACATTTTTGTTTGGTTTGGACACTATACTTTTGGAAAGCTTCAGGAGAAAGAGACTTATGTCCTGTTCTGCTCAGAATTATTTATTCTCATCTAATATATTGCCTGATATAAAGTAGGTACTAAATTCATATCCCTGCAATAAAATTTGGTAAACTCCAGACTGACAGACTGACTAACTTACAAAATAGTGAGGCATTTTAGAGATTTTTTTTCTAAATCTAGCAAATCTGGTATTTTAATGAATATGAGAATTATGACTATCAAAATTTTCTTTGACTAGTGACTTATAATTGTTGCATTATGATCCCCATAAAGCCAATAACTCTTAGATCCTTTTTGTAGACCAAGCTTTATATATCTGTTTTGCCACAAGCACATTCCTGCAGTCTGTCAGCATTCTGGTCACTGGCAATCACAATGCAGAAGAAATACCCAGGGAAGACAGAGTCTATGGAAACACTGAACCACAGCCTCATTGTGTAAAAACAGCACCGTTAGAACAAACAATGGCAAACCACTGTGATGCTACTTAGCCTTTAGTCTGTTGCCTAAACCAAGTCCATAGAAATGGACTAAATTCCAGGAAACGATATTTTTAAGTCTTGTTGTTTAATAACATTATAAGGAAAAAAAAGTAAGCCAGATTTCTACTAGGTCTAAGAGAGCAATCTTCATTCTCACTACATTCAAATCACATGCCAAGTTTACTAAGAACCATAGAGTTTTCATGCCATACTAATTTTCATCTGAAAGATATTAAAGAAGGATATTAATTCTAAATCTAACATCATATTATTATTCCACCAAAAATCTACCTAAGAAAGTTGTAATGTCTTCTGCTTTTTCTAAAATCAAGTATAATTTGATTGGCAACATTCAAACGTTAGTTTTATTCTTATGAAATTGGAAACATAAGTAGTGTATGAATACCTTGCGTACTGGCTTGAAGACATCTATAATTTCTCCATTGGAAAAGTTCATCACAAATCCCTGTACAGGTTCTTGGTCCCCAAAGTAAGGCTTCCCATTCACGGCAAAGAGCAAACCTGTGACAAAAGATCTAGTTAGGTTTGCAGTACAGTATGGACTAAGGCTGGCCTTTCCACATGCATATTATATAAACACACAATATATTAAGGGTTAATCTGTTTCCTACCATTACCAACAAAAATTGAAACTAAAACACATAGCAAGTATCGCCTACTGAGTAATTAGATCTGGAGCAATAGATTAGAGGTCTAACACATTTTACTACAAAAATTAGAAAGCCAGTAGAAATGAAGAATGTGCAGTTATATATATAATATATACTATATTACATATATATTATTACTTTCTGTCAGTATATATATGTATAATATAGGCATCCTAAATACAAATGAGGAAAATTCAAGTTATTCAAGCCAATCATTTTAGAGTAGCAGATCTTTTGGAACATATGCATTATCGACAATCACTCTAAGAACAGTCAGAGAGAAATATGCAAAGAAAATAAGTGCAATTAGAATATATGTAGAAGAATAATTTGAGTTTTATAAACAACTGGAATTTGAAAATATGAAGTGCTTATCGGACAATCCAGGATGTATTCTTCACATAGTAAAAGAAATTAATCATCTTTTCACTAATACACTTTGTAGTAAATTTGTATTACTTAGTGTAGTAATGTTTCTCTGAAATAATAGAAATAGTGTTATTTGGTTAAATCGTAACTAAGATGCTTAAATGAATGAATTAAAGAATATACTACACCAGTACAGTGAGAATAGCTATGTGGCTGAGTGCTTGTTTTTATGCACAAGAAGGTGGTATAGTCACTTTTACCATGAAATTACAAACACTAAACCATGGTTGAAAATGTTTTCATCTTCAAAGATTATAAAGATTTTTTAGTATAACACGCTGAAAAATAAACATCAATTACTGTTTTCGGATATTAGAAAGAAAACTTTTTCTAGTATTCTATTTTAACAATATTTCTTCTTTTCTCCAGATATTTACAGTTTTATAGTTATTTTTGTTATCACTTTCAGCAAATGACTGGTCCTAACAGAAAAATTCTTTGAGTTTGAGGTAAAACCAACCAGAGAATTTCTCTTTTGTTGATACTAAGAGTATCATATGGTTGATTCTGTGGGAAAGCCAAATTCGCTCCTGGTATAGTAACTTGAGTTGTTTTATTGTGTGTCCTAATAGCATAAAAATATAACCATTAAATGGGTGATGGTAGGTCATGTCTGTAATCCTAGCTGCCCAGGAGGTTGAAATCTGAGGATCGAAGTTCAAGACCAGCCTGGGTAGCAAAGTCCAGGAGACTCTTATCTCCAATAAATTACTTAGAAAAAGCCGGAAGTGGTGTTGTAGCTCAAAAGGTAGAGAGAGTACCAGCCTTGAGCAAAAGAAGCTCAGGGACAGCACCCATGAGCTGAGTTCCCAGGACTTGAACTTAAAAAAAAATATTATAAATATATATTATAATAATGATTGTAAAATCAATGCTACCATAACACAGTGTAGACATTTTATATTTTAAGTGTTTTGTATATTTTATACTTTAAGTTGTTCAATATTTATTATTTAAAGATAACCGATACTGTTACATTAAAATGTGAATTGTGTGTATCTTAATTTTATACGTTTGAATTCTTTTTGAAATTTCTTAAAGAAAATAAATCTACCTAAAAATAAGGGAAGAAAGCCTCAAGATTTTATTGGTTGTTGTCTCTAGCTAGATATAAGCCTCATTTTTTTTTAAACCTTACTTAAAAAGCTGGCCACCATTTTTTAAAAATAAATATGAAACAGAAGTATTTTGAGGGCTGATTCTGTCAGGCATATACCATCTGTTGATGATGTATGAAGACAGTATTAATCACTTAGTAACTAGAGCAGATGATAATAATTAAAGGAAAAATCAATGTTTGGGAACATTTTAAACGCAGTACAAACAGCTGCTAAATCTTTTTGAGTTTTCATTATTTCTTTAAAAGGAATAGTGTCACTTGAATTGAAATGATTTATGATGAAATACTAATTTAATATATTTTAAGATCTGATATGTAAAGCATCTTTAACCTCTTAACAGAAAAATGATTAAAATTCACATTAAGACAAGATAAAATACTTTTAAGGAAAGAATGCAGTGCAAGCACTCGCACACACAGATGATGAAATACCTGGTATATATGAAATTGCAAATACATTTCTTCCGAATGATTCATGCTTAATCTCTCTCACAAATTCTTTGGTGTCAGTGTTAAAACACTGGATCCGACCATTTTCCCTGTCTGCCACACATAATTGGTTTAAATGAGGCACGAGTACCAAGCTGTGAGGAACACTGAAATGGCCTGGTGTAGGATTTCTCCCAGAAGATGCTAGAGAACGAAAAGAAGCCACAGTTATACAACTTAGGAAATCATCCAAAATGTGACTCTACAGTTCTGTAATTTTCCAAGTTCATGGTAGGGAATCCTTAAATACCACCACTGCTTCTAAGTTTATTCCCACAAACACAATAAAGATTTTCTATTTGGACAAAATTTTAAAGAAAGTATCTTTTTCTTCTTTTTAAATGGTGTGTGTGTGTGTGTTGGAAGTGTGACTAAGTCAACTAAATATATAGAGTGGCCCTGTTTTCTTCACTGTACATGTAGAAGAATGTGAGAAGTGGCTAAAGTTTGGTTCCTGGTGATGTTGCTTAACAGTTGGGATTAGAGATCCAGAGTCTCACTAGGTACCTTCTCCCCACTGTGTGATGAATTCTCCACTTGGTGAAAACTGAACAATCCGACTGTTGCAATAGCCATCGGACACATAGATGGCTCTAGTCCTCGGATCCACAGCCACATCGGTGGGTTGGCAGAAATGATTCTGGTCACTGCCTGGTTGCATGCTCCTTCCCAGGATTAAAAGAGGGCCTTCTTTACTGTTTGGATCCAGTTTGAACACCTTTTAAAAAAAAAAAAAAACAGAAGCCTTATCTACTTTGCATGATTACAATTGACACAATCCCACTGAGACTATCTGAACATCATGAGAATATAAACACCTAGATGATGTTTGAAGATTGTTGAAAGAACAATGTGACTCATGACTAAATCTTCCCAGTCCTAGGCTTTCTTTGCCTATACAGGTATTTTTCTTTTCTTTTTGTTTCCTTTTCTTTTTTTGTTACATACATTTTAGTTAATCAGGCTATCTTATGGAAGGAAGAACTTAAGAATTTAAGATTAACTATAACTAGTTAAATATTATGTAGATATATTTATATCTTTTGAGAGAATACCTAAGTTTGAACACAAGGCCTTGTATGTGACAGAAAGTACTCTATCACTTAAGCCATGTCCCATGTGTTTGTATTTTGTGTTTTTGTATAAGTTCTCATTAATTTTGTTTGAGCTGCCCTAGAACTGGAGACCATCCACAACTACTTCTGCCTCCCCAGTAGCTAGGATTATAGCTGTGCATCACCATGCCTTATAATTTTGAATTTTTAGACATAAAATATGTGTTCACAAGAGATCTTGCTTCATTCTACATATAATGGAGACAGATTAGAAAACAAAACATAAAACACAAGTGATAAAATCAAAGTAAGTACCGAGAATGAGGAAATAGCAAGTGAATGAAACAAAGAAAGAACACAGGAAGGGCCCATCTGGGTGTTATAGCGAAGCTCCATATCTGGCCCTAAGCTTCCCTTCAGCCCCAGGAAGAATTGCTGAAAGAAAAATCTCAGGTATAGACTGAGTAACTATGTTTTCAAAATGTACATGTTTAAATCTTCACCTCAATGTGATAGTATTGTAGAGTGGGACTTTTGGAAAGTCATTAGGTCTTAAGGGTTGAATCTTCATGGTAACCATTACTGCCCTTGTAAGAAGGGACCCACAGTATCTGGGCACATTTTTTCCCTACCCTCTGAGAATTAAATGAGACATTGTCAGTCTGTAAGGCAACAGAGTATCCTCAGAAGCAGCCTACCATATTGGTTCAACAGAGCTCAGATTTCTAGATCCTAAGAGATGAATTTCTGTTGTTCAGAAGGAATGAAGTACAGAATGTTAGAATCCATCATGATCATTCCAGGGTACTACGTGGAGGCAGGCAGGCAGGCACAGGGAAAAGAGTATTATAAGGTATATTAGAGGGGCCATATATTTCTCTGGAGAGGGAGCAATACATGTCTGCCCCCATCCAGGTGGGTAGCTCTGGGGCAAGTGGCATGGGTAGGTAGGAAAGAGAGGGAGCGGCCAGCTATATGGCAGGTACTCTAGGGCAGGGAGGAGCTGAGGTCTGAGGTTCAGAGGTGGGGATAATGCTAACACAGAATACTTAGCTATACCAGGCTGAACTGAGTAACACATGGCTGTTCCATCCTCATCTTATTCACCAACTGAATCAAAGAAAGAGATCCAGAAAATCTCAGGGCTACCTTCTATTTGAAACCACAAACTGGGAAGATTACCTGATGGAGAGCCACATCTGTGACCCAATAATTCCCATCTTTATCTATACTTAAGCCATGAGGCAGGTAAAACCTAAAAAAACAAGAATAATAATTATCATGATTAGAATTCCCCAACTATACATTTATTTCTAATTAATCCACAGGACAATATGTACATGAATAAATACATGTTTTCATTATTATACAAAAGACTAAAATGAATTAAGTGAAGATTACCTGTTATAATAGAGATCACCATGTGACAAAGCTGAAACAGTATTTAATCAATCATATTAAATCTATAAATGAAGCTTACTCAAAAATTGTAAATATTAACTATAAAGTGTAGTCTCTTTACATAAGCAATACAAATAATATCAAAATGAAGCAGGTTCTAAGCTCATAAATATTTACATTCAAGAAATAGGAATTAAGCTAATTATCTCAAGAAACACCAATTGATTTCTACAGCTTGAACAGTTTAAATAAACTACAAAGAAATAAAATATCTTGTTATATGAAAGACTAAACATAACTTAGAAGATTTAAGAGTACCTATTGAATCTGATAAAAGCACAAAGAAAAGGATTTCCAGGCAAAACAAGTGTTAAGCACTCATTAGAGAATCTTAATTTATTTAGTGAATCAGTGTGGATTGTGTATTTGTGTATGTAAGACAATTATAAACTTGTGTAGGCAGAGGCCCCAGATTTAAGGAACCTGGACAGGATTAATCAACACATGGGTAAGATAGTTAAGGAAGTTCTGGCAAAAAATGACATTTGAGAATCACAAGCTTCATCTGTCAGCTTGAGGCTTTGTTTGATGTTGGCACCAGAGACCTTTTCTTCATGAGCCAAGTCTGTAGCCTTCTGATCTTGCATAATGGAGCTAGACCTCTGTTTTGGTGGTTGAAAGGGATTGTGATTTGCTCTCAAACTGGCACCCTGTTGCTAGCCATGCTGATTTAGCAGCAGTGTTTCCGTGTTCCCTCTTCACACCTTTCTGGGATGAAGATGCCCTTGATTAATGAACACAGCTCCAAAGAGACAGGTTCACACATAGAACAGTGGAGTGGCATTAGCATTTGGCCCTTGATTTTTCAACTGAGAATACTATTTAGAAAAATGCAAATATCATTATTGCCATGTCCACAAGCAGATGCATTCAAAGCAGTGGCTCCCTGACTTTTAAAGAAGCTGGCCCTGTCCGTTAAGCAGATGGAATAGGCATCATTCCTGAAGCTGCCAGGTTATAATGGTTGAGAAGACTCTGAAGCAGGTGGCCCTTTCTTTCAATGACCATGAACATCAGCCAAAAAAAAATTTGTTGGCTGCCAAATGCCATCTAGGAATACGACCACATAATGAGTGGCTTTTCAATCCAAATTACATATGCATGCTAAGGAAAGCTAAAAATGGTAAGAACAAAAATAATGGGAAGAACAAAAGCCTCTTATTCTTATTAACAGAATGACTACAGGATGAGTTTAGTATGTAATTTTTCTGCTGAAGAATTTTTTTGTTTAGCCATCAGATATAGTGGACCAAAAACTCACTTCACTAGATTGTATATTAATTGTTCTCTGAAGCTTGAAGAACACTTAGATTTCATAGTGTCATCTGTACCCCAGGACAAATCAAAATCTGATTTTCATAATTATAAATTGATAAATTAACCATATTGGCTAATTTGATTGTATACATTATTTTTATATGCTTATGACAAACACTGTGATATAATGACAGATGTACATAATGTGCAATGATTAAATAAAACCAATAGTTTATAACATATCAACTACATGTATTGGAAGGATATTTGAAATCTATTAATAGCAATTCTGAAATGAGTAAAAGATCTGACTAGATATTCTCAAATAAAGCCACATGAATCGCCAATGGCTAAATGAGTGTAATGTTTTCAAGCTTTCCCAATGACTCCAATAATAGTCAAGGTTTTGAACCACTTATAATAACTTTATTTAGAGTAGCTGTACATGATCTGTTTCAGACTCAGTAAGGGTACTAAAAGCCTTAATAACAAATAAGTAATTTAACTCACAGATTTTTTCCTCTGGACTCGAGTACCGCAGCATTATTTGGATCAATGACAAGAATAGTGTCTTCTTCAATTGGCCCAAGTCCTCTTTGCTGGTAAACAAACTTGCTGTCAAAAGAGCTAAATAAAACACATGAGAACAGAAAATAAACAGCCAGAAACTCCTTAACAAGTTCAGAACACTCACTTAAGATACTCAATACAGATCATAAGAAGGGCTGAGATACATTTGATTTCACTGTCTGTCTCTTGGATTATAATGTATACCATATCCATGTAAGGTGGTCAGGGGAGCAGCAACACTGACTTTGCTAAGAAATATGCTCTCAGACACATCAGTCCCAAATCTTCTCTTTGGCAAGACTTCCCTAGAAGAGTTAAAATCTGCATTAGGGTTTGCAGCATGTTGACTGAGAAATGCTGGAGTAACTAAAATCTTTTTTTAAAAAAATCTCTTCAAGCTTTATACTTTTTTTTTTTTTGATAACTAGGGTTTGAACTTAGGGCCTTAGCATTATGCCACTTGAGAAACATCTTTTTGCCAGTCCTAGGTTTTGAACTTAGGGCCTGGGCACTGTCACTAAGTTTCTTTTGTTCAAGGCTGGCATTTTACCACTTGAGCCAGAACACCATTTCTGGCCTTTCCTGCTTATGTGGTACTGTTCATGCATGCTTGGCAAGCATTCTACCACTAAGCTACATTCCCAGCCCATTGAGCACATCTATAGCTCTTTCTGCTTTAGTTATTTTTTTGATACTGTCTCTCTCTCTCTCTCTGCCTGGGTCAACTTGGACTGTCATCTTTCTGTATACATTTCTCAGAGTAGTTGGGAGAATAGCTTTTTGTAGTTGAGATGGGGTTTTGTGAACTTTTGCCAGGGCTTGCCTTGAACTGAGTCTCTTGATCTCTGCCTTCCAAGTAGCTTAAGATTACAATTGTGAGCTGCTGTGCTTGAACAAAATTTTAACTTCTATAGCTATTTTCTTTTAAATTATAAGAGAAATATCACCATTTTTACATCCTACAATGATAACATAGTGATTGTAAAAATATTACTGTGCTTATTTTCTGAACACAAGGGTTTAAACAACATTGAAAATGTTTCAAAAGCACAAAACAGAATTTATTCTTGAAACAAAAATATGCTTAGAGGTGTAAAACTTTTTCTACTTAGCAGCTTTTCCATAAGTAAAAATGGACAATAGACTAATTTACAGAAATGGAAGAGAGTAATTTAAATTTTCAAAAGCAAAGTGCTGCATCAACACACAGTTGTGATAGGTATACACATAAACACACACATTGCAATCCCAATGAAATAGGTGAACATAACAATTTCTGTATTTTAACTCAGTACCTTCTGAGTTACAATTAGATACCAGGAGCATACATATTCTTACTTTAAATTTAAATTTTACTTAAAGTTTTAGTAATACATTTCTCTAAATTGACCACTTTTCCCAGGTACAGTGGTTCACGTCTGTAATTCCAACTATTTGAGGGGCGAAGATAAGGGGTGTCAGCTCTGATGCCAGTCTTGGCAGTAGAAAAAGTGAGCAAGACACTAGCTTAAAAGCACCGTGGATGTGGTACCTGTAGGAGAGATGTTAAGAGGAGGATAGTGATCTAAGGCTAATCTGGGCAAAGCTGCCACACTCTATCTGAAAAATTACTAAAAGTGAAAACAGAAGAAAGGGGAGAATAAAAGGAAAAAAGAAAAATGAAAAGCAAAACAAACAAAAAGAGCTAGGGACGTGGCTCAAGAAGTAGAGCTCTTGACAAACAAGTGCAAGATCTTAGGTTTAAGCCTCACTTCAAACAAATGATTATCACTGTCAATTTTCTGTTTCATGAACTATAGGAGTTTTTATTTATGCTTGTAGGATATATTCCTAGACTTCTGAAACCAGAGATAGTACCCAAGCTTTTGTATACTATGTTTTTTCCTATGATCTACATCAGTGATGAAGATTTGTTTCTGTTAGGGACAGTAAGAGATAACAGAAACAAATAACAAAATAACACAGAACAATATATTGTAAAAACATGCCAGCATCACTACTCATGACTTTTGGCTCAATTAGTAAGGGAAATAAGTGTTACTTGAACACAAGTACTGAGATACCACAACAGTATCTCAATGTGGTACTGGAAATGCCTGAGAAGTGACTCCTGAGAGGTAGAGAATCTGTTGTGTAAAAGATGATTCATTTTCTGTTGAGGAGGAAGAATTCATTATGCAAACCAGAGCTGCACTCGATTACAAATTTAGTGCAGAATTATTTCTGGAACTTCCTTCTTCTTATTTCTGGAATTTGCCTTTTAAAACTTCTGGGTCCTGGTTACTGCCAGTAACTGAGTCTATAAACCATAAACCAGAAGGACTACTGCATATGTGAATAGGAAAAATGACAATAAACTTTTATATCAGCTGAGAAGAGAGAGAAGTCTGAAGCATGGAAGACAGTAATTTAAATTTTCAAAAGCAAAGTACTGCATCAACACATAGTTGTGACAGGTATACACATACACACACACACATTGCAATCCCAATGAAATCAATGGTTGGCCAAAAAACATTTCTGTAAAAGACAACTTCCTTTATAGCATCAGGAAAATCTGTGAAAAGACTATTATTATTTTATCTTATTTTTTATAAGATTTTATTGTGAAAATACTGTACAGAGGGGCTACAGTTACATGATCAAGGTAATGAGTACCTTTCTTATCAAGCATTGTTGCCTCTCCTTTGTTTTTCCCCTACCATCCTACCTCCACAACTACAAACCCCACCCGTCCCCCCCACCTAAATTGTAAAGTTCGCTTTTCAACATAGTGTCTTGTACATCTCATTGTTGCAATGGGTCCACCTGTATCCCTATTTAAACATTTTGTTTTTTCCCTTCCCCTCCCCAAATTATACCAACATCAAATACAGTGAAAAGAGGGGTTAGACTGTGGGGAAGGGACATACAAAGAGTATTATTATTATTTTATAAGTTAACTGTATTTACAAAATTATCTGAATAATATTATTTGTTGAGATATATCTGTAGTTTGGGAAGCTACAGATTGCTCACATCTGCCATAGATCCATTCATCAGTTATTGGTATTTTTATGGAACTGATGAAGAGTCCCAGTAGGAGATCAAAATATTGTAAGGTATATTCTCCTGCCGCATTCACACAATTAGCTTATTTTATTGACTCTTAACAGCCTGTGAGGTATATTTTTCCTAAAAGATAACAATAAGTCCCTGAAGTAGACCTCATTAATGATGCACTCAATTGAGCACAAAATATTGATTCAGTTTTGTCAACTAAAACTTAAGTAAAACTGTTTACATATGCTTTTATGTGCAGTTAAAACCCCATAGCAGTATCTATGAAAATACATACATTTATGCAACAGCAGTACACCACTAGCAAGACAAAGTGATATATTAATTATTAATTGAAATGTGAAGTTTGTTAGATCACACCACAGTGAGAAAATATAAGATATGAAATCATGGGAGTGGGTAAAGGGCATATGTATAGTCACTCATTGATGCTAGCGTGAATGCCAAGGAATTTATTCTATCTTAAAATATTTTCCATAAGAAGTTCTTTAAACACTTTAACTATTCTCCTAGAAATCAAACATACTGAATTAAATTATCCATATCTTTTTTCCCAACTTAATTATTACATTAGATAAGTACAGTTTAGCTAATCTAAGACAGAGTGATCTCATGTAATAAGATGAGGCCCCTGTTTTCATTATTTCTTGTAAGGTTCACATTTTATGAACCTCATTATTTTGGTATACTTCACTGCTTAGTAAACGTCTATCTAAATAATAAAATTATGTGTTCACTGACCGTTGAAAGTTAGAAAATTGAATTGAGGTAATTGTAGATTCACATGCAGTTATAAGAAGTGACAGAGATTTTCATGTTCACTGTTCTCCATTTCCCACAATGGTAGCATTTTGCAAAAGTATATACAATATCACAACTAGAACACCAGCATAGATAAGGCCCATTGCTTCATATTTCAATTTTTCTTTCAATTTTTTATTCTTAAATGATTTATTTGCTTGACCAACAAACATATTAGTACATTACTTTTCTATTTCTTCCTTAAATAGAATTGAGTACTACCAAAAAATTGCGCAATCCGCTCAGTTCATGCTTACAGTCTATTCTGTTTGTAGTGCTGTGATACTGCTAACAGTTGATTGCAATAGCAGTTCCATGGATCCCTGCATATCCACATAAACTGCTGCATACAAGGTCTCAGCACACTTAAATCTATTTATAACATTCTTCTTTGCCCAATGATGAACCATGCTACTGGTTTTCCACAGGGCAGTAGTTTCCCCACTGTTACAACTCTGGAAAATTATAGCTACTTTTCTCTGTATTATTATTCACTTAAATATTCACGATCAGCCTTGAATCTTTGATCATATAATTTTGGGGGACATATTCTTATATAACTTATTGAGAGGGAGAAAATAAAATAGTAACCCTCCTCAGGACAAACATTGAACTGTGTAAACCTTTTCTTATGGCCCTAGCTTACTTCTCCAGACACTCAAATATTTACAAAGATAAATTATTCACTGGTAGCTCTGAGTTACACGGAAATGTTGGGCTTGGCTTCCAAGGGGAAAAAAAAGAAGATGTGATAAGGAAGAAAGATAAACAGGTAACACCCATAGACCTGAGTAAATCTGGTCAAAAGAAAATGTAATTGATGAATAGGCACATGAGCAACATAGTTTACCAAAACATAAAATAATCCATATGTTGCTGCCACAATACAATTTTTGTTTTTGCATCTATACTTACATTCTTTTTCGAGTAATATAAGAATTTGAAGATTATCCATTTGTTATTTTGTTATTCTACTTTTTGGCATTGTAATAGTAAATTGTGAAAAAGCAAATGAAGAAACTGAAAGAAAATAAACAACAGAACTGAATAATCAGACTTTTTTGTTGTTTGTTTTTTGGTCCATAGTGAGTCTTGAACTTGGGGCCTGGGCAATGTCCCTGAGCTCTTTTTGCTCAAGGTTAGCACTCTACCACTTTAAGACACAGCATGACTTCCAGTTTTCTAATAGTATGTTG